TTAAGCCGCTCTATTTACAATAGTTAGCATATTTACGCTTGTTCTTTACAGGAGGGCGCGCAGGACCCTCCAAAGTATTGCCGCTTCTGCTCGTGGCCTAACCTGTTTTATTTTGCTGATTTAAATGATTAATGAAACAACGACGTTTACCTTTTGATGAAAATATTTGAATATGAAACTTGACGATGAGATTCAAAAATAAAAATAGAGAAGCCAAAATGAGCTGAAAAGATGGACAATTTTCCCTTCGATAAGTATTAGATTCTAAACAATCCGACATCTCTGATTCAATTACTTTCTGGGAAAGTAGAAATTGAACATGCCGCCGAATCAAAGGACGTGCAAGAGGCTGCAGAGATCTGCCGCCTTTGCCTACGGGATACCTTAAGAAATTTCGGTCCTCTTTGTGCTACTGATTGTTGCCTGCGCCGGTGCAGTCTCCCCATCCGGAAGAAAGCCAAAAACGCACGAGTCTTTCAGCATATTCAAAATATGGGTAAATTAGCGTAAAAACTTTGAAATAGACAAGTAGCGGTAGAAAGCAGAATATCAATCGGCGCGTTTGGAGCATGGATACCATATGAACATGTATAATTTTGATTCCCTACTTTCAAGCGTAGGCACGGAATTTTGGCGCAACAAATCAACATCAACTAATATTAGAGAAAAGAAGATTTCAAAGAAAATATAATGTTCGCTCTTCCATTGAATGTCAAAAATGTTATGTAATGTGATGATGTGGTAAGGATAACCATCTTATTTTTGAACTCTTATGGCTATACAGCACTTTCAGTCGCTTTTCTCACAAACTGTAAAGTTATATCTCAATTTGAATCATATTAAAAATACTCCTCAACCAACCATCACCCACGCAATAAGAGTAACCCAAAGGTAGAGCAATGTGCATGGTAATATTTGGCAGTTGGAGGCGCGAGGAGGTCCGAAGTTCCTTAGGCTATCTCAAAGGCATGGGCGGCATGTCTTTGCAGCCTCTTGCCCTGCCGCCAGGCGCCATCGCTTTTGGAGGATCCTGGTACGCCACCGAAGTGACTTCCCGTTATGCTCGATGCTGAACTGCATATAGTCTCTATGCAAAGTGACTGTATTGATGTGAAATGCAGTTCGCTAAGTGAAAATTGGAGTTGATTTTCTATAGTACATCTGCATCCGAACTTCGACAGGGACATTGATAGATTCTACCTTTGGAAGTATATTTATATCACATACTTCATATTTCATTTGTTTAATACTAACTCATCCAACTTATTAAAGTTTT